TGGGCGCTTCCCCTCCCGGGCTCCAGCTGCGCTGGGGAAGCGCCGGCCGGGGGCGCAGGGTCTGGAGGCTGCCCGGCAAACCGTAAAGCCGGTAGCGCTCAGGCAGCCCTTTTCGCGTGGCTGGGAGGGAGGAGGGGGAGTTAGGGCGGGGACTTTGGGGAAGGGGTTGGGAAGGGGCGGAGTTGGGGCAGGGCTGGGGGTGGGAAAGGGGCGGGGCCAGGGCCTGTGGAGTGTCCTCTTTTTTTATTTTTTAAATATGGTAACCCTAACTCAAGCAGACATGCCCTGATACAAAAGTCTGATTTGGAAAATCAGATATTTTGTCTCATCTGAATAATTATTAGCTTGTAGAAAAATGTTTGCAGTGTTGAAATTGCTGTGCTGGTGCCAGGCTAGAAGAGAGACAAGGTTGATGAGGTAATAACTTTTATTGGATCAACTTTGGTGGTGAAAGAGACAAGCTTTCAAGCTCTTCATGGTGAGTATGAGTATCCCATTTCCTGGCAAGTTAAGTAGAGGAGCGCACAAATGATAGTAGCCAGCAAGACACTGTATTACAATGACCAGCTGACTCTTTTTAACCGGGCAAGAATTAAGGGTCTTTAGGATGATAGGTGAAGTATAAAACAAGAATATTGGGATCCTACTTCATCCCACATGGGACTGTACTAGATGACCTCTTGAGTTCCCTTCCAGTCCTACGATTCTATGACTATTCAGCTGAGCATGACCAAGTCACTTGCACTTTTCTTTCACTTGGAGTTAATTTTAGAAGTATTTAAAGTCTCTTAATTTGACAAGGAGTTTTCCACGTATGTCTGAGGCTGGTCAGTCATTGCCAAAGGATCAGTGAATTAAATTTACTTTAAATTATCTCATTTTAAACAGTGGGCCTACATGCCAACCTCCACCTCACAGCTGGCTAAACTGTAGGCATATTGTATGTATATAGAAATGCCTTGGGCTCCCCCCAGGGTATAAGGCTCTGAATAAATGTAAAATTGACATCTGTGTAATTTAATATAATAAAATATATTGTATGCTTATAGCGCTGTCTTCAAAGGCTTTGAAAGCACTTTTGCTACCACTAGCTTCACAGTATGCCAAATTACATGGGATTTTCAAACACATGGTCTTGTGAGGTGATCAATGAAGTGCATGGGATCACGCCGCTCTGGCAGCATATCCTATCCAATACCCTCTTCTCTCACCCACAGATTGATACTTCTCCTCTCTCTCTCTCTCTCTCACTCTCACAATTCAATTTGTAGTTCTCTATGGGCATGACCAGCTGGGGAATGTCTCTGCAAGGGACAGGGTAGAGCCTCTGCTCAACACAAGGCCTTCAGCGTGTATGTGGGACTTGGTCCTGTGGCCACAGGGGGTCCTGATTCAGGGTAGGAGGGTCAGGGTGGGTTGCTCCATAACATGACTCATACACTGGCCTCCACCCCACGCTAAAACACAGAGTCATGAAGCTTCATGATCAGGGCCCACCGTGCTGGCGTCCCTGGTGGGAAAGAGGGAAGAGACAGGACTGTTTCCACACAGCCCACACTTGGGGACAGCGAGTGGGGGAGGGGGGTGGAGTGAGCGGGGGAGGGGCCTCTTAGAAGGGGCGGGGCCGCAGGGCAGGGCAGGGGTAATCAGGTTTCTGCAAATAGAAGGTTGGGAATCCAAGCTTCCATCCTCACTGCTAGGCGTGCGGGAGGCTGGCGCTGGCCTTGGCCCTCCCTCTCCTAGCGCCGCTCTGCCCCGCCCAGGAAGTTTCTCCCCCCCGCAGCGTGGTCGGGCCGGCAGAGCGCGAGCAGGCGCGCTCCCGCAGCGCCGCTTCCCTGCAGCCCGGGCGCCTGCGTGCGGGAGGGGGCGGTGCCACGCGCGCGCGCACGTCTGTGTGCGGGCAGAGCCCGTCCCCTTCCCCCCTCTTTGCCCCGCTTCCCTTGCGGGTCGCTGCCGGGCCGGCGTGGGTCTGGGCAGCACAGACAGGGAGGGAGGGAGGCTGAGCCAGATCTTCGTGCCGCAGTGGCCGCAGCAGGTAAAACCAGCCCTAGAGCATCTTATCCTTTCCCCCCAGCCTGACCCACTGCCCTCCTCCATCCAAGCCTCCTGCAATAAAAGTGACCCCCTCCCACTCACCAACCTCCCTGCCCCCTTCGCCCCATACCTCTCTCATCCCCCAGCTGTCACTGAGTTGCAGCAGGAGCGCTAGGAAGTGGCGGTGAGGCCTGTATGCTAGAGCTGCTGTAGGCTGCCCCTCTCTCGCCTCTCAGAAACTTCCTCAGGGTCATTTTGGGGAACTGATCGGTGCCTGGAGATTAATTTGAGAGATTAAGTTGAGAGCAGACAGTGTCAAACAGATTTTTTTTTCCTGTTTCCCTTTCATTCCAGGCTGTGGAAGTGGGTGGGGAGGAGGGGGCATGATCTGGCATCAGATTTTTTCCCCCAAGATATATATATATATATATATATGTTTTCATTCCACTCTTGGGAAGTTAAAAACTTCAGCGTTCCTCCTAATTCCTTATAAACAGTTCACAGAAGTTAGTTTTTCTTTCCCGTCCCTAAATGCCCCCCCCATCCCTGTTCTTTTCACCTTTTGGTTTCAGTTCATTCTAATTATCAGTCTGTTGCCTTAAAAACCGCAGTTTCAGATATTAAATTGTTCCCTTCATATTTGTTTTCTTCTTCTCTTGGGTATAGTAGTTTGAGTTACTTAGCATCAGTTTCAAGGCAAGGACTGTTGTTAGTAGGGTGACCAGACAGCAAGTGTGAAAAATCGGGATGGGGGTGGGGGGTAATAGGAGCCTATATACGAAAAAGACCCAAAAATTGGGACTGTCCCTATAAAATCGGGACATCTGGTCACCCTAGTTGTTAGCATACTTCCAACTGTTATAGACTGCTGTATACTCTTAGAGTGCTATACTATATCTCCATAAGTAGTTTGGTTTAGCTTGAGACCTTGTGGCATTTTTTGCATCATGGAGCCTTTGTGGACTAATCCTAGGAAAAGTTTTGCTGCTGCCATATTGGCATCTTGCCTTAGTGCTGTGGTGGTACATGTTTGTAAACATTTAGAAACCATTTATTTATTTTACGGAAGAAGCATGTTCTGGTGGGTAGAACATTGAGTGGGAGCAAGGAGACCTGGGTTCTTTCCCCAGTTCTGCCACTTACTTCCTGTGTGACATGTGAAATACACTTCTCTGTACCTCTGTTTTCCCCAATGGCAAAAATTGGTAATAATACCTACCTTTGAGATTTATGGAGGAAAAGCTCTCTCAGAAAAGCATTGTTATACCAGTGGCCATTGTCTTTGCTTTTGTAAAATGTGCTAATTGATGGATGTTATTTTTAGGTCTGTTGTTTATTACACAGTAGTTATTTGTTTACTTGTATTATCTCTGTCAAGGATTTTAGGCCAAAAAAACTCTACAAATGTTTTCCAAACAAATCTGGTCTACATTGTTGACACTGAAAATATTTAATTAAAAAATTTAGAGAGATAAAATGGAATTAGTAACCTCACATTATATGATGTATGCATACCTCAGTTTGAGACATCACATACTGTTATGTTTGGGGCTTGTCTGGTTGGGATTTTATATTCCTTGATAATGGCCTACTGAGAAAGGAACCTAATACTTTTACTGTTTTCAAACCAGTCTGTGGTTTGAAAATATAACAAATGTATGGCTTACTGTCATTGCTGAGAGGTTCATTGTTAAACGTATTTCTACAGGCTCACCTAGTATGGAAATCTCCAATTTTGGTATCGGCAGGCTCTAGCCACTGTCCCTCTGAAGTACAGAGGTGAAAGAAATGAAGTGGAATGTAAGTTCATTGATAGTGGTTGATCAATTTTCAGCAGGCTTTTCTATTAATTATTTATATTGTGATGGCACCCAGAATATTCCAAGCAAGTGCAGAAGGAGAAACCCCCAGTGCTGAAGAATTTTGTAGTCTCAAGAATTTGATTATTTTTACAGCTTCATACTCAAAGTTAATAACTTTAGTTACTCCTGAGCCAATGAATGATGTTCGCCTACTCTTTTATGATTCGTGAACCTATGTTTTAACTATAGTGTGCAGATTAAAATAAGCATGAAAACAGAGTAATTGTCATCTGTTAGACATACACGTGTGCATATTTTTTATATTTTGTGATGACTTCATAATTCAAATGAAGCTACAAATAGATCAATTGAAGGCAAAAGCTATTTCAAAAAGCTACTCAGGGGTTCTCTGTTGGTTCATAAGATAGGGAGGAGACTCTGTACCCTTCTTAGTCCCATACCCTGCTTCCAAAGTGGGAGGCTTGAGTCTTTGCTTCTGCTGTTTGTTTTCATGAGTAGTTAAATGAAAATGGGGATACTGGTGTAAAGTTCTTTGAATTGTACTGATGAAAAGCACTATTAAAAGCTAGGGCTTTTGATTATTTTCTAGTTACAGTAGCATATCAGCTGAAAACCAAGGTAGGACCTACAACTGTCTTAATGACCACTAACTCCTACCAACAAACTTTTCTCTTTCTTAGTTTTTAAACAGAAATTAAATGGCAAAAAATCTTCCTTAACACAGAGTTAAGGTTGCTTGATAATAGCTTGTGCCCCTCCAGAATGTTCAGTTCAGCAAAACTCAAGACTTCTGAAAACCAGGAAATACAGAATTAAGGAAAATGTTCTGCCCTCCTTGAGCAATACACCACAATGCCCATAGTGCACATACTCGCACTCTGCCTTTTTGCTGTAGTGGACAGGCACTACCTGCATTTGCCTTGCACTCAAATGCTGTTCCTACTCCCCCAGCAGAAGTCCATACTTGTTAATTTAACAACCACATTATACCCTTTTACAACCCCTTCACACTTGAACATAAGATATCACTTAAACCTCTTCTTTCTCCTACCCATCATTAAATCCACAGACTGCTTTGATATCCCACCTCACTACTGACCGTACCTATGGCTACGGACACAATCTATACAATTCTGCGTTGAAATGATGAAAACTGGAACCTGAAGGTACATATGCAGTTCTTTCTTTAGATGACATTTGTGGGGACTCAGACCCAGATCTCCTTATATCACAGTCACAGCTATGTGGTGCCCCTCAAACTAATCCCCAGATCACCTCATATTACAATCAGAGCTCTTCCAACCTGTTCCAGCTTATTCCTCCATGATTCAGTACAGCTAACACAAGGAATACAGCTGGTATGCATACAGATATTTCTGAAATGGCTATTGCAGCGCAAGAGTGGGGCAGAATTAAGGTTTTGTGGACATTTACCTTAATTCTGTATTTCAGAAATTTGAGTTTTGCTGACTTTGACATTCTGGACAGGCACGAGCTACCACTGGGCAACCTTAGTTCTGCGTTAACTAAATCTTTTGCCATTTAATATCTACTGGTTTAGTCTGTCCTCTCTTAGACCATATCTAATGTAGTCAGGTATCACAGGAGTAGCCGTGTTAGTCTGTATCCACAAAAACAACAAGGAGTCCAGTGGCACCATAAAGACTAACAGATTTATTTGGCATAATCTTTTGTGGGTAAAAAAACCCACTTCTTCGGATGCATGGAGTGAAAATTTCTCTTTGAAGTCTGTTTTTGAAGTTTTTTGTTGTTGAAGTATGGCTACTTTTAAATCTGTTATCGAATGTCCAGGGAGATTGAAGTGTTCTCCTACTGGCTTTTGTATGTTACCATTCCTGGCCCCACAGTATGCCAACATTTTTATGGCTGACTTAGAACAACGCTTCCTCATCTCGTGTCCCTAGCGCCTTCAAAGAGAAACTGCAGAGCTACAATTCATTTGCAAATTTAACACCATTAACTTGGGCTTGAATAGGGACTGGGAGTGGCTGGGTCACTACAAAAGCAATTTTCCCTCTCTTGGTATTGACATCTCCTCATCAATTATTGGGAGTAGACCACATCCACTCTGATTGAATTGGCCTTGTCAACACTGGTTCTCCATTTGTAAGGTAACTCCCTTCTCTTCATGTCAGTATACTTATGCCTGCATCTGTAATTTTCACTCCATACATCTGAAGAAGTGGGGTTTTTTACCCACGAAAGCTTATGCCCAAATAAATCAGTCTTTAAGGTGCCACTGGACTCCCCGTTGTTAATGTAATCAAGTAATTATCATTGCTCCCTTGCCAACTTCCAGTTCAATGATTAATTCATCTTTATCTATCATAAATCACAAAATAGTTACCTTGTGTGGTGCTTTGCCTTTTGTGTTAGAAAAGTATCATCTATAATTTTTAGAAACTCGAATGATGTTTTACTACTGGCTGAATGAGACCTCCAGCATATGTCTCCTATTGCAACACATTCTCTCCCCCCCCCCCCCCCATGTTATGGACAAGTGTTTAAGGAGTAACTCAGCTATTCTCTCGTTTGATTTGATTGTCTATAACATACCCCTGCCTAGGATTTGTTAGTTAGCACAGCGTTTCTCTAACTGGGGTCCGCAAGGGTACTCCAGGGGGTTTGTGGGCCCCACTGATCAACTCCTTCCCCTCCCTTCCTCAACTCCTCCCCCTCCCTCCCAGCGTCTCCTGCACGCCGGGGAACATCTTCCCTGGTGTGCAGGAGGCGCTGGGAGGGAGGGGGAGGAGTGGGGATGGGGAAGAGGAGGGGCAGTGATGGGGCGGAAAGAGGTGGGGTGAGGGTGGGGCTGTGGAGATGGGGCCTGGGGCTGAGCAGAGGGACTTGGGGGTCTGTGAAAAATTTTAAATCAAAATGGGGGTCCTCAGGTTGCTAAAGTTTGAGAACCACTGAGTTAGCATATTGATCCATAAGTATTCAAGGTACCGTGGTTCTGAGTTATTGATAACCCTAAACCAGGAATGTATGAACTATGTTTAGCATGAAATACACATATTTGATAAACATGCCCATTATTATGTAGTATATAACTTTTCTTTATATATGCTTTGAGAGTAGCCTTTTCTTTTTACTGGGAGAAAGAAATATGGTTATTTGTTAAAACAGGATTGGACTTACATTTCAAGGACGGCAT